GCAGTGGAAGAGATAGAAAAATGGGTAAACATGAAATTTATAATATATAAGAGGTAAATGTCACATGAAGAATAAAATAACAATATGAATATAATATCCAACACACCTAGTTTGAACTACTTACCTGGTTTTCTTACTCTAAGCATCAGATACCAGGAATCAGTACTTTTATATAAAAATGCAAATAAATCAACTCAGAGTTTTATAAAATAACACAGATATATTCATTGTAAGCAACTAAACAAAGCTTCAAAGTGAGAGCTTTATGTTAATGTAGTTTGTTTCATGCAAAATAATTTAAAAGACAGTAATTTTGAGAGAATTCCATTTCTTATAAAAGAAATGGTGATAACTCTTAGTTTAGGGGACTAAGGGTCTAGGTCTGGTTTATGTGTCCCTTGTTACTTATTTCTTGCACATTCTTATTTCCTGAAGTATCTGTGTCTTAGAGCTCTATTTGCTAAATTAGTCTTTGTTTATGCACTGTATTGAAAATACTATCATTGAGTTGTAAGGATTTGCTTCCCTCCAATTTGCTCAGCAAAATTCAAGCTGCAAATTGAGTCACTACTTCTACCCTTCTTCGTCTCTATAAAGATGAAAAAATGACAGCTGTGTTCATGATTGTGGAAGTTAAATCCTCTTTGCCAGAAAGAATTGCATTCTGCATAGAATAGGAGATGGAAACAGATGTCCAATGGTGTAGAACAAAGACAATGCTTGTGCAACACTTAAATATATGTCCACCGATGGTAAGCATTAGTTTAGGATGCTAGTTAGTCACTTTAACAGTAGTATGAAGCTTGTATGATACTTCTGTGGAAAAAAAAAAATATACAGCAACCACATATTTGAAAGAAATATGATGATAGAAATATGAATTGTAATTTTCTTCATAATTTTTCTAGACTTTTATGCTTACTGTATTAAGTACTGCCAGCCTTCTGGTTAGCAGTCAAATGCCTTAGGCACTACACCACCAGAGTTCACATATTAAGTACAATTACTTTTATAATAAAACACTACTGTCCAATGTTTTATATGAAAAGAAAGGGGTAATGTATCTCTCCAACGAGCAAAAACTTGGTAGAATTGAGTAATTGTGGAGGGAGATTTTAAAACTCAACTTGGGCTTTGAAAAATGGGATGGGTCAGATAAATGGGAAGAAGCAAGGAACAAGGACTTCAAAGGAAGTAACGAAAGTGGACAAAATAGACTTATTCATGAGACAAGCTTTGTCCATTTATGTGGTCCCTATTAGAATTCTCCAAGGAGCTTTGGTGATACAGTACAAATACAAGGCATTTGACTGCTAATTAGAAGGTTGACAGTTCAAACCCACCAGCCACTCTGAGGAAGGGAGACGAGGCAGCATACTTCCATAAAGACATACCACCTTGGCAACCCAATGGGGGTCACTATGAGTTGGAATAGACTCAATGGCAGTGAGTTGATTAGAATCCCCTAGGTATTTTGTTCACAAACCTGATTAAAATTTTTAAACAAGTATTCCCTATTAATAATGTTAAATAGAGTTATGTGTTATATTTATGCTGGATGTGTGTGGTCAAATCAAAGCAATGGAAAATACTTCCTTTCAAACATCACTATTTCATTATTATATTCTATATCCAGTTTTTGTTTAATTTGGGGTGTTGTTTAATTTGGGGCTATATCATTCTTATAGATATAAGGCATTGAACTGTTCTATAACAAGTACTCCTGCATCTGGGAAGGTCAAACTAATTCATCCTGTGTTACTGTATAACAAATAAAAGATTTTGGATATCCTTAAATAATTGTATTTTTAGTGAAATGACAAATCCATTGTATCTATGCTTTATAACTATAATTAGTAATTTTAATTTATTTTTTTAAAGGTCCTCCTGGACCCCCAGGTGAAAAAGGAGATCGAGGTCTTACTGGGACTAGTGGCCCACAAGGAATTCCAGGTCCAGTAGGTATGTTAATAGCAACTATTTAGTAAACTACGGAGAGAGTTAATATGTATCTGTGTATATGTGTAGAGGGAAATAGCTATTTATTTGTCTTTTATGATATATGTGTGTGTGCATGTGTGTGTGTGTGTGTGTGTGTGTCGGGCACAACAATGAATGTTTTATCAATATAATCTCTATGATATTTTGAATAGTAAGAACTGACTTTTGATTTTTAAATGTTAAATGTTTTAGCCAGTGCCACCACATGGGATTATGCATAACTCTAGAGGTGCCATCCATATCATAGATTACACAATAGTATACGGCTGGCCTAGCTTTAGTCACATGTGAAGGAGAATATAAAAATCATTTTTGCTCTCAATACATTTTCAAGTTATCTGATTTTTAAGATACAAAAAAATACATTAATATGAATCACAGGCAAATTTAATCATATTTCTTATATAACCCTTGACTGGAATATATCTGGTTAAAACCATGAAATCTGAATGTCAATATTGAAAAGAATACAGATGACTTTTACCATTGCTGTCAGTCATTCTCTATATTTTATTTAGAGAAAACTTTGTTCAAAATATTTTTCTCTGTGTGGTAAACTTGAAAGCAATACTTTGAAATAAGATAATAGAAGATCCAGAAAAGGAGAGCATGGACTTTCTTTGCTCTTAAAGAAAAAGTAAAAAAAGACAATATCAATAACATAACTGTCATGCTACTCCTGGCTAAAAATCAAACACCCCACATGGTCTTTGAAAGTGGGCAATATTGCATGACCTTATAAGGAGCTCTGGTAGCATAGTGGCTAAGGCACTTGACTGCTAACCAGAAGGCTGGTGGTTCAAACCTACCAGCCACTCCTCGGAAGGAAGATGGGGCAATCTACTTCCGTAGTGATACTGCCTCCGAAACCCAAGGAGGGGTTGCTATGAGTCGAGTCCGACTCGATGGCACATAACAACAACAACAATTATAAGTGGAATGCTTCTTGCTGACCCTCACCAAAAAAAAAAAAAAAAAAGTCTTAATGCCTATGTAAAAAGCTCTCCTTCCAGATCAATGTATTGACCTGTGTAGTTACATCAGAAAAACATTTTTGAAAAATGATAAGTATGAATTTGATACTTGCCTGACCTTTATACCATTGTGTTTAAAAAGCCAATGCATAAAATTTACATTTAAAAAAGACATATATACTTATATTCTTTATCTATATCTTGGGTGTGTTGGTAAACTTTTGAATGCACTGTCAGGTACAAATTTCTATTCAGAAAAATCCACTTGATTATGCTGAGCAGATCTTAACAACGGTGAATTAATGTCATAAGCATGGGAAGTAACCAGTGTTGTAGCAGCTGCCAGAGCTGCTAGTGTCAAGGGTCTGTCAGCTTCTTTATGGCAAACTGCAATTGTCAAAGCTTTATAACTCAACCATAAAAGTACAGTCTAGGCTACAACTTGCTGTAGAAAGCATTATTATCTTGGGAGTATCTTTTGCAGCTTTCCTAAACTATGGATGTATGAAATAACAAAGACAGATTTCAAAGTTTCGGCTTTTTTGTTAATGGCAGAAACAAGTAACATTGCAAAGCTTCTTTGATTCATTTAGTGAGGGTTTAGTTTGCTGTCATTTTTACTGCTCACTTCCACAAATAGGCATTATTCAGTCCCTTCAGAAAGAGAGTTATAATTAGCTACTAACTATTGCCCTCCAGTAGGTTCCAACTCATAGTGACCCCTCTTTGGGGTCACTATGAGTATTATCCCTACAGAAGTAGATTGCCCAGTTAGTTACATGAAGATAAATTGACTCTGAGGCTATCCAGGTGTCATTTGATTTGGGGCACTGCAGCAAAAGCATTCAAGCTACCACACATCCCCCTAAGGGAATTTATGGAATTTTCCGGGTTAATTTGTGTTGTTCTCTGCCAGATTGCCTAATTAGAGCCTTGGTGGCACAGTGCTTAAACATTCAAAAGGTCAGTGATTCAGCTTCTGTAAAGATTAAAAAAAAAAAAAAAAATCTCACAGCCATTTAGTTGATTGAAACTCATAGCAACTCCCATTGGGTTTCTAAGGTTGTAAATCTTTATGGAAGCAGATCACCTCCTCTCTATTCTGTTGAATAGCTAGTGGGTTGAAACCACTGACCTTATGGTTAGTAGCCAAATGCCTTAACTACTACACCATCATAGCTACTTTCTCTAATGATTATAGCCTTGGAAACTACTCTGTCCTATCAAGGCCAACTCAATGGCACATAACAACATAATATAGGGTGGTTATGAGTTGGAATCATATTTGATATATTGTTTGATACTTTAATGAAGAAGCAAAGAGTATATGATTAACCAAATGAAAAATTCCAAACTCATTGCCATCGAGTCAATTCTGACTCATGGAGAGTCCATGTGTTACATAATGGAACTGCTCCATAGAGATTTCTTGGCTATAATTTTTATTGGAAGGAAACCATTTGCACCACTCAGAAACCATAAGATAAACAGTCACAATAATTTTACATCTTGATTTAAGTAAGTTAATTCAAACCCAACCCATGGATCCAGTTGACCCCACTAAGCTCAGCTTGACAATGTCAAACTCATGGAGACTCACACTGTGGTATGGAAATCTGAGAAACTTAAATAGTTATCCTGCTACTCTTAAATAATAAATACTTCAAATATATTACTAATTATTATTCATGCACTGGAATGGGTATTAGGTTAAATTATGCTTTATCTCAGAATAATATAACAGAAACATCTTTCAGAAAATTCTTGCCCTGAAAGGCAAGCAGGAGGCCATGACCTATTACTTTTCACTTGAGAAAATGTATTAAGCACTTTCCCTGTGCCTCATGCTCTATGAGGCACTACAGAATATGTGGAAAAAGACATAGTGTCTCTGCCAAGCGTAGGGTTGATGATACAGTGAGTAATTTTATAAGAGCAATGATTGTCACAATCAATGACTCTAGACACCATGCTCATCTGAGGTCCTTTGGGAGCCTCTTCACTTCCTAAAGGAAACTTTCTGTAGATGACCTAATAGACTTTTCTGCCCAGTGGCATCACTAACAGGATGGCCTGACCTATAGGCACAGGAGAGTGTTGCCTATATATGATGCTTTGAGACACGACTAAAGACTCCTCTGGCTGCAAAATGTCATGATGCATTACTATTCTGTGACTGCTATAACAAATTACCACAAATTTGGTGGCTTAAAAACAACAGAAACTTATTGTCTCACAGGATACCTCAAGTCTAAAATCAAGGTGTTGGCCAGTCCATGCTCCCTCTGAAAGCTATAGAGAAGATCCTTCCTTGTCTCTTCCATGCATTTATAGCCATGCATTTCTTAACCCCACCCCACTCCGACCAGTCTCTTGCCCAGACAGATCTTTCAGGCAACAAGGACGGAGAACAAAAAAATACTGTGCTTCCTAAATATATGCTTTCATAGGGAAAGTTGCTGACTGTATGCTGTGTTCTGTGCCAGAAGACTGAATGTGAGTTTCTTCTGCAAGTAGAAAACTGTACCAAGGAAGGGGTATTTCTTCTTTTTCCTTCTGATTTTCTGCATCCAAAAATGTCACTGTTAACTAAGCACATATCATTAAGTAAAACTAAACAAAGCAGCCTTCAAAAAGGCTGGTCAAAATAATGATTATATCACTACTACTATGTCTGATGTGCTTCGGTCATGTTATCATGAGGGACCAGTCCCTGGAAAAGGATATCATGCTTAGTAAAGTAGATGGTCAGCAAAAAAGGGGAAGACTTCCAATGAGATGGATTGACACAGAGACTACGACAATGGCTCAAGCACAACAATGATTGTGAGGATGGTGCAGAGTGGGCAGTGCTTCATTCTGCTATATTTAGAGTCTCTTGTGAGTCAGAACTGACTCGACTACAACTAATGTCATATCCTATTGGCTGGGAATTTGTAGAACCACCAACCTTTCAGGAGCAGCTGAGCATTTTAACTACTGTGCCGCCAGGGCTCTTACAGATCCACAGCGAGGTTAAACGACTTTCTCAAGGACAATCAGCAGTTGGTAGGTAGCACAATCAGTATTTGAAGCCAGATAGGCATGATTTCAGAATCCATGCTCTCAACCAGCTTGTTAGATCACAGAAAGAATGGACTGAGAGATGGGACCTGTGCTATGTGAGTTGTTAGCCAACCAGCCTTATATTAGTGATTGGATCTTCCCACTTTTCTGTATCTGCAAAATGATGACTATGGGATAATGTCTATACAAGGACTGGGGACAAGGGAAAAAAAAAAAATCTTTCCTAAATGTACACGTCGGTAGGAAAAGTTGCTGGAACCCCAACATTCCACGACTGAGAGGCTGGAAAATATTCTTATTGTTGCCAATGAGTTGGAAGCAGGAGCTGGACCCAGATTATAATAGAAAATTAGCAATTTGTTACCTGAGAGGCTCAGAGAATGTGGCCCCTGCAATGAAATTCAGTAAGCTGCATTTTCAAATGTCATTAACCAACAAATCATAAAACTCTGGGTGCTACATAAATCTTGCTTACAACTTTTCCTATGTAAAATAGAGATTAAATCATCAACTGCTTTCTATGCAAGTGTAACATGTGCTTCATTTATGGATTAATTTGCTCAACCATTGAAAATGCTACTTACTTCAAAGCTGAACGCCTCTATTCTGAGAGTCACTGTTACGATGTCAAACAGCAATCATTGGACAGACCTTACCTAAAGCATTCTCTATAAATTTCAGAGTTTTATAACTTCTAAAATTATAATCTCCAAAATTACCTTCTTTATTGATTTGGTAATTTATTTATCATCTTTCTCTCATCATTTTTGCTCTACACTGGAAGGTCCATTTAGACAAGGACATTTGTAACTCTAAAATGAAGAAAAACTGGTATAATACATGAGCTCAATATACATTTGTTGAATTAAAATGAAAATTCTAATGGTAAAAATACTAGTCACATGTGAGTGACACTCTAAAAAGACTACAGATTGTTCCACTATCAAACATCACAGTTCACAGATCAGAAAAATGAGAGAATTTTCAGTTAGCAGTTTTATTTGTAATTTTCAGTGACAGATCTCAGTAGTTGCATGTGCAGTGGAATCTTACTGCTCTGTTTGGATAGTGAAGAAAGTACAGATATTCATCTATCAGTTTGTCCTGAGAACAGATGTTAGGTCTTTTTTAGACTTTATGCTGTGAAGTCTAACCAATATATTACTATTTCTGGACATATTATTTATTGCTTGGGATATGTGCTTAATTTCAGTTAGAATCAAATCTTAACTATTTAGACTATTTCTCAAACTGAACATTTCCTACAGGATGTTAACACAATTATTGCTGCCAACATGAAATGATGAACTTCAAAAAAAGATTTTAAAAATGATTTAAATAGGTATGGTCATTACTCTCCTGGAACTAAACTAGTGGCAATGTTATTAAAAGTTAGCATTAAAAAAAGATTTCTCATAATAGGCCTCAAAAGGCATCAACTGAAAATTGGATTAATAGGATCCCTGCAAATGTATAATGGCACTTAAAACAATGGACTACATAATGAAATCATCCATGGAAATATAGTCTGCTTTTAAACACAATTTTCATAGTCAACAAAAAGATATGGGTAGAAAAATATATGTTTTCATTTGTTGTTGTTGTGTGCCATCGAGTCAGACCCGACTCATAGTGACCCCTCCTTGGGTTTCCGAGGCAGTATCACTACAGAAGTAGATTACCCCATCTTCCTTCCGAGGAGTGGCTGGTGGGTTTGAACCACCAGCCCTCTGGTTAGCAGTCAAGTGCCTTAGCCACTATGCTACCAGAGCTCCATGTTTTCATTTAAGCATGTAAAATCCCATGTGATAGTTAAGGTTGTGCATCAACTTGACTGGGACATGGTTTTGAGTTGCTGAGCAGCTGGATGTAGTTATTCCTCATGATGAGATTATAAAATCTTCCTCCATGATGGAATCTGCTATGAGAAGCTAAGTAGTTGTCTTTGGGGTGTGACTTGCTTCCAGTATATATGGAGAAGTTTGAGGAAGATCTCTAGATCTTTGGCACATCCGGATCTTGCATTTGCCTAGGTCTTCATCTCCAGTTCCTGGACTTAAACCAGAGGACTTCTGTGTTGCCTTCCAATCTTGGAATTGTGCCATTTTACCTGCCAACCTTGGGTTCATTAGGGTTAGCAGCCAGCAGCTGCCTGAGTTAGGAGATGCCTCCATCTCCAGCGGGCCTGGCTAAAAGGCAGAGCTAAAGCCCAAGGTCGAGGGGCCTTCACCCAGCCTCGAGAGCCAGTACTCTGAATTTAGACTTCTTGCCTCCTAAACTATAAAAGAAAAAAGATTCCTGTTTGTTAAAGACATAAACCTGTGGTATTTCTGTTATAGCAGCACTAGCGAATTAAGACACCTTGTATATGTATGTAACATATATTCATAAATGAATCTTTCATATATTAGATATGTGTTAATTTCCATTGTTTAGGATAACAATATTGTTGCTGTTATTAGATGCCACTGAGTCTGTTCTAACTCATAACATCTCTATGCACAAAAAAACAAAACATTGCCTCATCCTGTGCCATCCCCATAATTGTTGCTATGCTTGAGGACACTGTTGTGGCCACTGTATCAAATGATTTTCATTGAGGGTCTTCCTCTTTTTCACTGACCCTCTACTTTACAAAGAATGATGTCATCATCAGGAAATGGACCCTTCTGACAACATCACCAAAGTAGATGAGACAAAGTCTGGGCATTCTTGCTACCAAGGAGCATTTCGGCTGCACTTCTTCCAGGACAAATTTGTGAGTTCTGACACTCAATGGAACTTTCAGTATTCTTCACCAATCCCACAACTCAAAAGCATCAACTCTTCTGCAGTCTTCCTTATTCGTTGTCTAGCTCTCACATGCATATGAGGCAGTTGAAAATACCATGGCTTGTGTTAGATGTACCTTAGTCTTCAAAGAGCTATCTTTGCTCTTCAGCACTTTAAACAGATCTTTTCAGCAGGTTTGCCCAGTGCAATATGTTGTTTGATGTCTTGACTGCTGCTTCCATTGTTGTTGTTTGTGGAACCAAGTAAATGAAATCATTGACAATTTCAATCTTTTCTCCATTTATCATGTTGCTGTTATTGGTCCAGTTGTGAGGATTTTTCTTTTCTTTGCATCGAGTTGTAATCCATACTGCAGAATGTAGTCTTTGATCTTCATCAGTAAGTACTTCAAGTCCTCTTCACTTTCAGCAAGCAAGTTTGTATCATCTGCATATCTCAGGTTGTTAGTGAGTCTTCCTTCAATCTTGATGCTGTGTTCTTCTTCATATAGCCCAGTTACTCAGATTGTTTGCTCAGTATATAGATTGAGTAAGTATGTACACCTTCCTGATTTTAAACCATTGAGATAAATGAGAATTCCAAAGTGTTTCATTGTGCTCATGTGGAAACTTTACATAGATCAAGAGGCAGTTCAAACAAGGGATAACAATGGAATATGCAAAAATAAGTCCATGAAAGAGAATTAGAGTGAAATATTCCAAAACTAGGACTCAGAATTTTTTTTGAGATCATATACTTAACACTGCTCATTGCTTGAGTATTTCTTTCTATAAGGTAAATTTTAAAAATTCAATTTTCAGCTTATATATTTCTATGTTATTTAAACTACAGCAAAATCCTGTCATTTGAAGAAGATTCTATACTAGACTATATACAACTTCTGGTTAAAATACTAAGTTATTATTTTTTTAACTTATGTGCTTTCACTTGTACTAATAATGTATTATTTGTTGAATATAAACAATGCACTAAATGCACAAATATTTGTAATTCTTGGTTATGTTGTCTATCAATGGCACACATGAATTTTAGGAAGGATGTTATTCTTCAATTTGGAGATTCACCTATTTCATATTGTTTCATGAAAATGTATAGAATGGTCTAATATACTCTCAAAACTATGTAACAATTAATTCTTTTCCACTTTTTTTTTTTTTCTCATTAACCATATAGGACCTCCAGGTATTAAAGGTGATCGAGGAGCAATTGGCTTTCCTGGAAGTCGAGGATTGCCAGGTGCACCTGGGAGATCAGGGCGGCAAGGTATTAATATGTTAATGAATATTTCTTTATAGAACATGTAAAATACACACCAGATCATACATCTGTTTTTAAACTCTTTGATAACAAAATATGGTCATCATAATATAGGTTGTAGTACTCAAAATGCAATATAATTTTTGGTCTGAAACCTTTTGAAACTACTTTCTGACCACCTGAGGAAGTTTTCTATGTCCCAAAGGAAAACAGATTGAAAAGAGAGGATTTATAAATTTTCCACAACAGTTAATCACTATGAAACATGTTATGTATCTTACAACAGAAAGACTGACAAAGAAAACAAAAAAGTGAAGTATAAATGCTCCTTAACCCAAAAAATCTAAATTTGTTTAGTTACAGTAATAAAATCAAGAAAAATATGAAATGCTATCCTATGCAAAACTAATTGCTACTAGATATTAGTGCTTAACAACCAGCATTATTTAGCACTTTACAATTTGCGTACATGATTATGCCTTTTCTACTAGGATTGTGTAGTTAATCACTTGACTATTAGTTGAAAATTTAATGGTTCAAATCCATCCAGAAGTTCCTTAGAAGGCAGGTCTGGTAATCTGCTTCTGAAAGATAACAGTTTTTCAAATACTATGGAGTTCTACTCTGCATATGTGAGGTCTTTATGAATTGGCATTGACTCAGCAGCAACTGAAATAACAATATGCCAATACTTTAGCCTTGAATTGTGAAACTTAGAAGAATATAGACATACTGTGCTCTAATTTCAAAGGAAATTATCACCAAGAGAATAGAATGGTTATGATAGTATCAGTGCTTATAAGTTGTATCAGTGCTTATAATTAGGCTTGGAGAAAAATCAGTTAGCCACAAATAAAAACCACTTGCCATTGAGTCAACCCATGGCAATCACTTGTATAGCAAAGTAGAACTGTGCTTCCTAAGGTTTCAATAGCTGATTTTTCAGAAGCTGGCCACAGGCATTTCTTCTGAGGTGCCTCTGGGTAGACACTGACATCTGAACCATCCCCGTGTTTCAACCAGCCCCGTGTTTCAACCTTTTGCACCACCCAGGAACTCCAGCCACGAAACAAACAAACAAACAAACAAACAAACTATACACACACACACACACATATATATATATGTATATGTATACATATATATATATATATATATGTATACATATATGTATATGTATATGCATATGTATATAAACCCAGTGCTGTGGAGTCACTTTCAGTTCTTAGACTTTATACTTTCTCCATGCTTACCAGATCCATGAAAATAGGTAAAATATGATATATTTACTTTAGAGAGTTTGTTGTTGTTTTGTGCCATCGAGTCAGACCCGACTCATAGTGACCCCTCCTTGAGTTTCCGAGGCAGTATCACTTCGGAAGTAGATTGCTCCATCTTCCTTAGAGAGTAGTGAATATTTAACTGAAGAGTTACCTTTAAGGTCTTCAAAATTCCTGGAGAACTCTGTCATAGAACCTTGCTAAGCAAACTAGATCTTCTAGCATGTAAATAATGTGCTTCTCTCAGGTGAAACTCTTGGAGAACATTGTCTGATACCCCCCAAGGATGTGTTATGGAGTTTTTTTAGAGGAAGCTAAAATTATAGACTATACATTTTTGTGTTCAACAAACACTTAGTGATCATAGCTGTGTCAGATATCCATGGATAGTTGAATATGTGAGCTTGGGGTTCATAGGAGAGACCAGATATAGAGAGACAAAGCTGTACCTATGACAGTATAAATGGTAATGGAAATGAGTGATTTTAATAACATTTTATGGATAGAGACATAGAAGAAAGTTAGAAGAGAAAGAGTCTAGGATAAGGCTGTAATTAGTTCAGAATTCCAGGCTGAGTTGTTGTCGTTGTTATGTGCCATCGAGTTGGACCCAACTCATAGTGATCCCTCCTTGGGTTTCCAAGGTAGTATCACTACAGAAGTAGATTGCCCAACCTTCCTTCTGAGGAGTGGCTGGTGGGTTTGAACCACCAGACTTCTGGTTAGCAGTCAAATGCCTTAGACAATACACCACTAGAGTAGTAGAACAAAACAGCAGATTGAAGGAAAACCAGAAGAACATGGTAAGGAAGAAGCCAAAGGCAAGAGTCATTCCAAAAGGTGGTCAGGTAAGATAGCCTCCAAAAGGGTCTTTGCATTTGTTGATATGGAGATATTGCCTTTGTTGAGAGCTGTTTCTATAGGATGGGGTGGAAACCAGATTGGAGGAGCATGCTGAGAGGTGACCTGATGATGAGGATTATAGGTGGCAGTAGAATCACCTTGCAGCGATCTCTCTAGGTAGAGGGAGAGAAAGAGTTGAGCTTTTGTTCATTGTGTTTTTTCATTTGATTTGGATTACTTTATTTGAAGGAGAGACTTGACTATAATTTAAATGCTGATGAAAAGATAAAATAGAAAAGAAACTGAAGACATTGAGGAAAGAAGGGAAAGAAAGAAAGTATAAGGTTAATGAAAGGAGCCCTGGTGGCACAGTGGTTAAGTGCTTGGCTGCTAACTAAAAAGTCCATAGTTTGAACTTATCAGCTGCTCCACAGGAGAGAGATGTGGTAGTATGCTTTGTAAAGATTTACGGCCTTGGAGACCCTATGGAGCAATTCTCTCCTGTCCAATAGGGTCACTATGAGTCAGAATCAACTTCCTAATAAGGGTTAAAGTTAATGAAAATGAATAATTCAGAAAATAGGAAGAAACATTAGGTGTGGCGGGAGATGGTCACATCTTAAATTCAAATAACTGAAAAAGAAGGGAGAGCTACAGATGCTTTTGGTTGTGATAATTAAGGTGTGTTCATGAAAACATCTACCATAGCACCTGGCTCATAGAAGGATTTCTAAACATCCTTACTATAATAATAGTTCTATTGAAACATATTTTTAATTCCTCCTCTTAAAAGTTCTAAAATTTCAATATCAGTGTATTTCATACTACTCTACTTCTCCTTTTTCAGTGATTTTCAGAAATATCAGTTCCTTATTTTTAGTTGAAGAATGACATACGTGTCAGGAGGTGGTTTACTGTAGGTTTTGACTCTGAGTTCATGAGCTCATTTTTAGCAAAAATATTATTCTAAAGTAGCAGTACATTCCCGTTCTCTAAAAAGGACATTTTTGTTGTACTCAAGATTAAGGGAAAAGATTTCCAAGTATCATCTTTGAAGAAGTCTCTGAATCATGCTAAAATGACAAAAAAGATTTGTGTTTATTTATTTTTTATAAGAAGGAGATCAAAAGTATCATTTTACTATCTTTAAGAGTCAGAATGCTACAAGAGAAAGAAAGCAAAATAAATAAATAAAACTCTAAGGATCTTAAGTGAGTCATTAGTTTAGAGATTTGGCTTGAGCAGTTCTGTTCTTAAAATATCCAAGACAAATTGTGGTGTGAAAAAGATTTCCAAGAATAAAGAAAGACCTCTTCCTTTATTTCTCATTATGAAATTAATGCTGAAGTGATCATATTACGTGCATTTATTTATACTTTTAAT